GCTTCTGCCGGACTACGAACATTGGATATCGGTGTCATTATCCACTGATTACAGGGATAACCGCTGTCTGCAACAACCAATGAATTTCCGAATTCGCCCCCTTCGAAGCGACTATAAACGCGCGAGTTTCGAAGTATTGTGGCATCGTGTGTGGAACCAGGCCATCTAGCTACTACATCTAATATATTTAAGTCGCTGTCGCATAAAGTCTGTACGTTGTACGAAAAGAACCCTTTTCTGTTTCGGTATAACTCCGCTCATGACCTCCTATAAAAAGTACATGTATACATACGTATAAGTACAGGGTACAGTTTAGTTATGTGTACAACGATTTCGGGTTTCTGTACCCAAACTCGTGACCCAAATCAAGAAACTTTTACTCACGCTTCTAGACAAGAGTCTACAGTTTATTAAAAAAAATCACTATATCTGTGCACTAATTTATCAATAATTTCGGTTTGAAATATGGTATTTTTTGCAAATTTCCGAGCTGAGCTGTTAAACACAAAAAATATCCGCGAAATACGTCTGCAAACGGTGTTCAGCCCCTATTCTTTGGCAACACAGAAAGAAGAATTCTACTTTATAATTCCTAAGCGCGCCCGAAGGTTTTCCTTTGCAAAAAATCCAAATTTTCCCTATCTTCAAACAGCTCCCAAAGGGGTATGTGGGAATGTGAGAGGGAGTGGGTTACTTTTCATATAGTGCGGTCCATCCTCTTTCTTTTATGGGAGGTTTGGGGGGTGGGGGCACGCTCCACCCCCTCCGCCTTCACACCAAAATCGTTGTACAAATAGCTAAATATTTCCCTAAGAACAGAACTTTGCTATTTACAAAGCAATTCAAAACTATTTAATTTTTGTTGAATTTGGTTATTAGTTTTCAATTTCTGACACTGACCTGGTGATATTATTTTTATATGCGTGCAGTCTAAAGCCGCTACCACGCGAGGAAATTTCCCTACTAAATAAAACTTTTCGTGCAGCCGTCTTTGCTCTTCTGCAGTTGTGGGAAATGAAATAAACTGCGCTCGTAATACAGCTATGTGGTGCGAAACCAACCTTATGACTCGGGAAGTAGTGCTATTAGAAACTCCGATTAAGTCCCCTCCAGTCCTTTGCATGCAACCCGTGGCATAGAATCGCAAAGTGACCAGAAGCATTTCTTCGGGAGTTAGAGCACTGTTCCTGGAGTAAAAGTCATTAGAAGCAGTACACAATTCCTCTAAATCGGGTTTACCATGTAATTTTATGTTGGATTTTTTCCCGTATCATCCTTAACACCATCCATGCTGACGCTTTGCTTACACGAAATCTGTCCCGGAAATCCTTCTCGTCGAAGTCTCTGAAACGGGTTGGCGCATCCCTTATATACCGTGGACGTCGCGTTATAATGATGCGCTCTAGAACCTCGCATTCCATGTCACTTTCGTCACTCGTACTCATTGTAATAGTATTTAATTTGAATAACTTTTGCCTTTTATTTACTTATTTATATTTTATTTTGAGTAATCAGCTGCTGTTTAGTCGAAAAGCAGGGTTGCATTTTCCATATTTAAATAGCCGACATGCGGCATTTAAATACAGTTTAAATATTTCATCTAAAAATGAAAAATCATCAATCGGTATTTAAATAGGCGATTTGAAATTGGCCCTTAGTATCATAGAATTTGTACCCATTAATTTGAAAGTTATTAAATTGCGTAAGGTGGGTTTCAGATGCAAGCAAAACGTCTATATGAAAGCCCTCTAGGAAAATTTCTAGTTCGTTTTTATGCTGGGTTAGCCCGTTAGCATTATAAAAACAAATTTTGAGATTATTCATGATTTAGGTAAAATGGCTTGAAGTAATAGATTTTGATTTTTAATCAAATCTTGTACTATGCTCTGCATTGCCATCATTTGCTCCTGCATAACTTTCATAAAGTTATTTATAGTAGCTTCTAGGTTACTACTATTCTGACCAAAAAGATGTTGTGTCGGAGGAGTATTTTTCAGCATTTGTGCATAAGAAGTAAAATTATTAACAGTGATTGGCGCAGGCATTGGCTTAGCGATTTCTGGTACGGGGTTATGCCTAATAGGAATATTTTTGGGAGTTGCTTTCTCTTTCATTGAGATATAAACTGGACAACCTCTATAATTAGCAGGGTGATTTCCACCGCAGTTACTGCACTTTTTGGATTTCGGGTGCATTTTTGGTTTCACACATTCTTTGGAAGTGTGTAAATCCCCACAGATAACAAAGACACCAGGTAAGGTGCAGTAGCGACGTGTGTGACCAAATTCCTGGCAGTTATGACATTGAACAGGGCCTCTAGGCTTATGGGGATCTTCTACGGAGATTTTACGGTGTAGAAAATATCGCAATTGGTTTATTTGATGCACTTCCCCTTTCTTCAGGTTATAATACCGAATGAAATGAAAATAAACTTAAGAATTTGAGTGTATTTCGAAACTTATCTCAAAATTCGATATTTTTTTACTTTAGCTTGTATCATTTACAAACTCATATGAGAGGTTAATTTTCTTCAAAATTGACAATACTGATTTTCGCAGTCTATTGTCTTTTTGCATTGTTTATACCAGAGGTGGTCACTTTTTTGCCCGCGCAGCAGCTAAAGTGCGAGCGCGGCACATAGGGATATTTAGCCGATTTATGCGGCCAAAATTATTTTTATGAATATTTCAACTCGAAACATATAGAATTGTAAATGTTTAAAATCAAGTAAATATAAGTTAAAACATTAACAGAGTTGTCACCTGTTAAACAATTTTGTTCAATTAGTTAAATGAATTGCTGCAATATGGGTATCAATGGAAATGGGTTTGAAAATACTTTATCTCTAAGGAACCTTCCAGGGTTTAAAAAATCAAATTTAACTTTAATTAAAGTAATTAAATAACTCAAATATGTATCACAGTATAGGTAAGAAATGGGTGTATTCGAGGTGCAATTAATGCGGCAGTGTTGCTCTTTTATGAAAGAGTATCACGTACTACGCGAAAATTTGGGCGAACAAAATTTTGACAATCAGTTACTCATCATTGGCAAATCAAAAGCAACATACAAATTTTTACTGCTCAATTTCTGCAATGTTTTAAAAAAGGTTAAGTTCAGCATCAGCAACATGTCATCTGGAAAGCAACAAGTCTGCAATAATGCGGCAATTAAAGGGTGAACCCACCAAAACTGCGAAACTTAGAAATGAGTACCAGAAACAAACTAGCAGGCTTTGAAATTATTATTTTTTTTATATTATATAACTTGGAAGTTTAGATGTTATTAAAATGTTAAAATATTAGTTATTATTTGCTCCATATGCAAGTGATCGGTATTTTCATCGCACACGCGCCATCATGTTCTGCACGACTGCATCATCGACTTTACGCGATGCGCACAACTACTTTGTTTTGCACTCTTCAATATTTTTCACTGTTTTACCTGTTTTCTTCAAGATTGACAATTGACCAATATTCCCCAACAGGACGTAGCTCTGGGCTATTGATTGGATTGCAGTCGTGAGGTACAAAATTGATGTTATTTGCATTATACCACGGCAATGTGTCCTTGGCATAGTGGCAGGTTCCCACGTCCGCCTAGAACAGTGGCCTACTCCTTATCTGTTGATAAATGACAGAAGACGCCTTTTGAGGCACTCATCCCGATAAACTTGATCATTCATTGTCCCGGATTGGAAAAAAGGGCTGCTCTTACGGCCACAGGATCAAATAGCTTGCCAAACCATGTGTTTTTTTTTGGAAATTTGGACTTCATTTTCAGCTTACAACTTTCAGGGGCATCTTGACGACTTGCACCAGTATAAAAGTCTTGACCTGAAATATATTTTGAATTTTTATAGCAGTAGGTTTTGTAGTCCATAACAATGCAGTTGTATTTTTTAATTTAAAATTCATACAACTTCCGAATGCGGGATTTCGCTG